GAATTCCATCTCAATAGGTTACATGTTTCATGCAAGGCGTGAGTTGCCTGCCTTGTTTTATAGTATCTGGCACTGGCAAGACAGGCTGAAAGATTTATGAGCTCAAGTTAATAGTAAAACAGCGTATTACAGGCTGTATATTAATGTTCTTCTGCGCTGAAGTAGCTGGCTCTTTCTGGGGGAATTTATGCAAGGATCACTTGCTCTGTCTGTCGTCGCCGTAATGGTATTATAGGGTGGCCCGTTAGTCACCGTGGGGGGAAGCAAAACAAGGATGCTGTTTCCCTCTCGGCTGGCAAATCAAAGGGAGAGGGGAAATGATGACTCCAGCAACCGCATCCGTGTATTAGCTGCACCTGCTGTGGATATTGGGAAATGGGGAGAGCAAATGTCAGAGGCACAAAGAGCAGGGAAGGAAATGAAGGAGGAAATAATAGAGGAAGATAACGTCTGTCTGCCAGTGGCCACGATTCAGGCTCATGCAAGGCGTCTTGCCACCCTGCAGCTGCTCAGGGAAGTCTAGTGGTGGGACTTTCTCTTGAATCTCGTGCTGGGATTTACCTGCCCTGGTGTACGCTGCCCTTAGCCCATGCAGTAGGGCAGGGTTTGGGCTGAAGGTGCCACAGGAGAAAGCGGGCAGGGCAACTGGAGAGCAGTTTACTTATTTCATTAATTCCTGTGGATGGTGAATTTATAGGGTAGTTAGGAGGTGAGGGGGACCTCCCCACCCTGGCACTGATTTGGGAAGTGGTGAGGAGAGAAAGTGCATTCTGGCGTTTCTGCGGTGAAGCAAGCTGCACGAAAGAGTACACGGCTTCCCCTAGTGTGGAGGACCACAGGGGAGAGGTTGTACGGAGGATTGATTCCTAAAGACACCAGAAAATAGAACAGTATATTCCCTTTGTGCAGCAGAAAGCACCACTAGGGATGGAGGTTGCAATCGTAATATTCTTGGTCTTCTCCTCCAGAGGCTGAGATAGTGGGTTAATGGTAAGAAGAGAGCTCAGTTCATTGCTCTTGGTGCTGGGCAAGAAGACATTGATTTGTGGTAAGGTTGGAGCTCATCTGTGTGCAAGGAGAGTCAGACCCCATCGACTGGCCGTGCAATATGATGCTGTACAAGTCCATGCTGGGATATAATTGTGCTGTGAGAGCAGTGAATGTCGAATCTTAGGAAGCTGAGTCAAAGCGAACCTCTCGGTGTCAATATAACAAAAATCATTAAAGACAAAATGTTAAGTGGCTCCTTTGGTCGGAGAGTGTCTTGCTGAAGATAAATAAGCTAGATCCTGTCCCTGTGTCTGGTTAGCTCCATGTCTCTGGAGACCAAAGTCAGTTTTGGGGTGGTTTGGAGGGTGCGTGTGGCTGCTGGTATTGAAGGTAAGGTACGAGGATGTTGGTGGAATTGAGGCCATCCGAGGAGGCCCCATGCTGCTGCTCTTGCTGTGGGCGCTTTCATTCACTTTTCTGCTTTTGACTGATTCATGACCCCGTACCCTCTCTAAAAGGTCTTCCTGTGCTTATTTTGGAGCTTTGCATTTATGTGCCACGTCCAGGTTTATTCTGGTCCTGCTTTGAGAGATAACGAATGAATGTGGACATAACAGCTGAGATGGTGCATGGCCAAGTGGTTGGCACCTGGATGTGGCAGCTCCCGGGGTTACTTGCCAAGAGGCACCTGTCTCTGTCGCAGGCTGTTAGGAGGTTTGACAACAGACAGGGGAGCTTAATGTGCCACTGAAAAACTTGGCACCGTTTTTTTACATCCCTGACCCAGGAAACAAGATTTCAAGGCCCTTTTATATTGTCCTTATGGGGTAATACATCCTATTCTTCACAGCCTGAATCTGTTGCATGCTCCACTAGCAATGTTTCTGATGCTCTGGCACAAAGGAGCACCCATTTCTGTGTCCAGGCTGAAGACCAAAGGTACCTTTCGCACCAGAAAGCTGTTTTTGAATAGCCAAGGGGTGAAGAGGAAATTATTCCAACTCCTAGCTAGCTTGGTTTTCTTCAAGGTCTACATCTGATATTGCAACCTGCCTTTGCAATTCCCACCTCCCATAGCTGAGCCTCAACTGAGCGAATTGGCCGAATTCCCACCTCAGCAGGCTCAGCTTTCTCCCGGTCGCCCTCATCTTAAAGCCTCTGTCACCTCCCCATCCCCTCACTGCTTTACAGCTGACCGCCATCTCTCGGGCTTGGCTCTGGGAGCACAGGGTCCCAGGCTGAGCTAAACCAGGTCTAGCAGAGCTCCTTTGCTTGGGATCCGTGTGTCAGTGCCGGTGCCTTACTGCTTGGGTATGGGTTGGCGTTCCCAAACCAAGGCTCCTTCTTGGTGCTAAATAATGTGAAGTTTGGGGGTATGCAGGGTTTCCACTGAACTTACCAAACTTGTCAGCATTCAGCACCTTTTGAAAATCAGGCTGCACCTAAGTTTTACTAGATTCATAGAATTTAGAAACCTGAATTGAAGTTAAAACCTCTGATGAGAGGGGCACGCTAAGAATGGCTTGCTACAAAACAAAAAATGTCAAGAAGCTGTACCTAGGATATCCTCACAGAATAAAGACAGAAAGGTAGGGAACAAAATGGATTGACAGTTTTAAGAAATATGGTATTGCAAACTGGCTACTTTTGTATTTCAGCAGGGGTGTGAGTGAGGAGAAGGGGGGGTGCTGGGAGGTCCGTGCAGACAGAATAGAGTGTATGTCAGATTGTGACAATGCATAGCCAGGTGAGGGTTTTGCAAGAAGCTGTGAAGTTATAAATGGGAGGAGATAGTTGCTTTTGCTGGTATTCAGCCTGGAGGTGACAAAAAGACAGATTTCCGCTCTTGCCCCAAATGGTAGATTTATAACATGCAGAAAATTGACTTGCAATGCCAGTCCCCTGGCAGCTGGGAAAGTCTCTGAGCCCCGCATGTGAAGTTTACTCTGAGAGTGCTTGGTGGCTTTGGTGGCAGACAGAGCAGTTTGGACCTAGCTTGGGAGCTTAATTTTCTAATGATGACATGTCAGTGAGATACAAAAGCTGGCTGTTAAAAGGGCTGTGCCTCCGAGCATACACTGTTGATAAAGAGAAAGGGGATACAAGCATCCTCCTCCAGCTTTTAGCCTTACTTTCTGCAGCCAAGCACTGAGCAATGTAACATTTTTGCTCTTTTGTCAGTTAGCAGAAGAGTTATGCTTCTATGCATAATACACGAGCTTTAAAAGCAAACATGCGTGCAGCGGAGGTGTTGGAAAATCCCTGTAGCCATTGGTTTCTGAGAGTAGTATTTACAATCACAGAAATACATTCACGTTGCTGCTGCTCAGCTTCTGATCATACGCAGCAGAAAGATGCTACTTAAATAAACAGCCAAGTTGGTATGAAGACTTTTTTCATATTCTTATGGGCAACCTGGTGGTTTTCTTTTTTCCCTCTGGAAGATGTTACTGTGGTGTTTGCTATGAAAGCCGATGTGTGTTGGCTTCTGGTGCTGAGAACGATCGCCAGTGTGTAATGTCAGGGCAAGATGAAAGGCTACAAGAAAGGGAACAGGAGCCCTGTATTCCTGGAGTGGTGCTCAGGAGTCCTGAGATTTTTGGCTGGGAGGTGACTTTTTAAATGAGTAATAATAAACCTTGCAAGCCCGATTTTTGTGCTTTGCCATTTGGGTGAATATTCTGTGCTTGATGCAGGTGGAGAGGCTAGTTCCAGGGGTAATCTAAGGGTGGGAGTGAATGGGTAAGATAACATAGCTTTTTGGGGAAGGCAAAATATTTTTGTCATTCCTATCAGTAAGAATAACAAAGATAAAGTGACCAAACATAGGAATTGGCAGACTGCATCATCCTGTGCTCTCTCCTAGTAGCCAGCAGCAGAGACACTGACAAGGATACTCACAGTAGGCAGATGAAAAATAATCTGCCCCCCATCAACATCCTTTCCTAATCCATAATAGCTAGAGGTTGGTTTCAACTCTGAAAGCGCAGGGGTTTATATCCTTCCCAAGATGTTTGCTAGTGTTAGCTGTGCTTGCTTGAGCTAGTCTTGTTATCCACATAACTGTGCAGCCTTCGCTCTCTACCTCTGCCCTGTCATTTTGGGCTGGTGAATGGAGCTGCACTCCCCCAGTATCTCTGGGAGCACATCGCTGAAGAGGATGTTTTCTGTCCTTGATATTTCACAGTCTTCAAATTCACCCTGATTGGCAGCCAGCCCTCTTGCATCTGCTGGAATGATTTCAAGATTTAGTGGGATATTTTTTTGTGTGTTTTGTTTATCTCTCTCTGCTCTTTTCTAAATCTTGCACTTTATAGCTGAAATGGGGCTCACAGAGACTTTTTACATGGGACTGGGCAGCTTTTCTGTTCCTGAATCGTAAACTCAGGAAAAGGTATTTCTGGAAAAAGTGTCATGGTATCCAGAGGAGATAATTCAAAGTAGAGGAGAAAATAATAAATAAATAAGCAAGATGGTAATTATGTGCTCACATAACTTCTAAAAACATGTCAGAAGTTTATTCTCACAAAATCTTCCTGAGAGCCATTTGCAGTCAGATATGAAAACAGCTGGGCTTGTCATGGTGTGGTAGATCATCTCTGGTTAGGCTAGGGCTAGAATTATTGCCAAACAATTTGACATGTCTGTACTTTCAACCTCTCACAAGTTGGTAAGAAATTCTGTGAAAGCCCTGTAGCAATCAGGCTGGGATTGTATATCTGCCATTAGTTCAGCCCCTCCAAAGCTTCTGCTGTTTATTCACTTGCTCCCTTTAGTAGACACTGACATAAATGAGTCTCCTTGGATGAAATCCTGATTCCATTTCAGTATTGATTTCATCAATGCTAGGATTACAGCCTGGAGTTCAAAAACATGAGAATGGGTTACACAAGCAAGCCCTTGCCTGCATGGCTGGGGAGTCAGGTCCCATCTGTGGCTGAATTACAAGGTTCTGAATATTATCTCTGGATGACTTACAGTCTTTTTTGTTTGCTGTTGTGTGTTGCTGTAGAAGTGGAAAGCAGTTTCCAGGCTAAACAAAAAAAAAATACACTTAAGCCATGGAGTCCAACCAGGAATCCTCACTTTTCCTAGTGAAGATCTTGGAGGAGCTGGATACGAAGCAAAATACAGTTTCTTACCAGGACCTCTGCAAGTCCCTGTGTGCAAGGTTTGATTTATCCCAGTTGGCCAAGCTCAGAAGTGTGCTGTTTTACACCGCTTGCCTGGATCCTAATTTCCCAGCGACTTTGTTCAAAGACAAAATGAGATGCACTGTAAACAATCAGCAATCAAAGAAAATCATGGTTGCAGCAGATATAGTAACAATATTCAACCTCATACAAATGAATGGGGGAGTGGCCAAGGAGAAACTTCCAGTTGCAAGGCAGAAAGTGAAGAAGAAAGAGTCGTTCGAGTCCTGTAGATCTGACACGGAAATCTGCAATATGGCAGACTGCGTGCCCAACTGCGAGCTGAATGACCAGGAGTTTAACCGGGGCTTTCCAGTGAGAAGGTCTTCAAAATGCAGAAAGATGGACTGCAAAGACTGTCAACAGTTTGTCCCCTCGTCAGAACCCAACTTTTTGCTTGGTGTTAATAAGGAGATGAAGGGCCGGGCTGCCTCTCTGGACAGGCTAAAAGAGGCGGCGGCACACTTCCCCGTCCCCCCAAAGGAGAGTAAGGGCCGGGCTGCCTCTCTGGACAGGCTACAGGCGCTGGCGTCCTACTCCATCGCCACGTCTCCACCATGCGAGATGCAGAGTACGTACTTCCCCATGAACATTGAAAATGAATCTATTTCAGACCAGGACTCCTTGCCTATAAGTGCAGGCATAAAAGAAACCTTCATTTCAAATGACGAGCCATTTGTGATGCAGTCGTGTGTCCAGAAAAGAAATATATTCAAAGAAGATTTTCATAATCTGATTACAATATCTCCCAACTTAATACCATCCAACAAAAAAACAGAAGATGGACACAGAGAGCCTCAGAACAGGAAAGAAAGCTCTAAGCAGGCTTTCTTCAACCACAGCTTTGAAATGCCATACAGCAGCCAGTACTTGAATCCAGTTTATTCTCCTATACCAGACAAAAGACGAGTGAAGCACGAAAGTTTAGATGATCTTCAAGCTTCAACGTATTTTGGCCCAACTACTATTCTCGGGCCCCAGGACACCAAAAAGTGGACTGGAAAGCCAACCAAGCAAACTGCATGGCCAGCTAAAAGCTGGAGTTTAAATACTGAGGAGGTACCTGACTTTGAACGATCATTTTTTAATAGGAAGCAGTCTGAAGAGAAGCCGCGATACCAGAGTTCAAACAACCCATCTCCAAACTTTCCTTCAGCTGACAGGCATCAGTCCTACCTAAACACAAAAGATCAGCAACCAATTATGCAGGCAAACTATGCTGTGAAATCAAATGGGCATAAACCCAAGGAAATTCCTTCCATTCTAGACGTGGAGAAGCATGAGCCAGTCAAAAAGTTTAAAGATAAAAGCATTAATTGTTCTTCTGTTCAGATTTTAAGCATTGACAGGACCACGAGTGTTGGGACACAAACAGAGCAGCAAGTTCTGGACCACAAGAAATGCAAGGATTTGTGTGCGGCGGGCCAAGCCAAGTACGGAGAGCGACACTCTCTTAAGCAGTCGGATGATGACTCTGAAATTGTGAGCGATGACATCAGTGACATTTTCCGGTTTTTGGATGACATGAGTATCAGCGGGTCGACGGGAGTGATGCAGTCTTCATGCTACAACAGTACTGGTTCCTTGTCTCAGGTGCATAAATCAGACTGTGAGAGCTCACCTGAGCACAATTTGACTAAAATCTCCAACGGGAGTGCCTGTAACAAATTGGATAAAGTGGTCCGGGCAGACGTCAGTAATACAGATGATGAACTGAAAACGAGCGTCTGCAAATTAGTTTTGAGGATTGGCGAAATAGAGAAGAAACTGGAATCTCTGTCTGGCGTTCGAGAAGAAATCTCCCAAGTCCTGGGAAAATTGAGCAAGTTGGATCAAAAAATTCAGCAGCCAGAGAAGGTCAGCGTACAAATAGATCTCAATTCTTTGACAAGTGATGCTGCATCAGATGAGAGTAACTCCCCGCAGATATTTCAGTGCCACAATACTCCTCATGGAGGCAAACTAGAGAATAATCCAGAATGGTGCTGTTCAGACGCCAGTGGAAGTAATAGCGAGAGTCTTCGAGTAAAAGCCTTAAAAAAAAGTTTATTTACTAGGAGGTCATCAAGATCATTAACAGAGGAAAATAGTGCAACTGAATCCAAAATAGCAAGTATTTCAAACTCTCCCCGAGACTGGAGAGCTATTACTTACACCAACCAAGTTGGCATTACGGAAGAGGAGATGAAAGAGAGAGATGGAGGAGAGAATAAGGACTGGCACAGGAAATCTAAAGAGGTAATTTCCACTTTAACTCGCATAATAAGCACTTAAAAATAATCTAGTTATGAATGTCTTCCACAGTCATCACAAGCCTCAGAGTATGACAATACTTTGCCATGCCATATTATGCCTGTCTTTATTGTTATCATAATTGAGTGATTTTGTACCTATACATTCTTGCTTGGCAGCTGCAATATGGTCAAGTTGTTCCTTAGAAGCACTTTGCTTGTTTGAAAAGGGAGGGGGAGTCACGTGGGTGAGATCTTTGGAAGATGATGGTATTCTTCATCATCAGCGGCGACATAAGGAAGCTGGGTAATTAACTTGGTGAAAAGGGTGTGAGGAAAATTGAAATTCTCTAGTGGATGTTTTAGAAGGGATATTTTGAAATTGCATTGTGATGGCTTTTATGAGAGAAGTATGTACATATTTAAAAGGCAACAAAAAAGATTCATGGATTCAAATCCCTCAAGAAAAGAATCCTTGTACGTGTCCTGTGGGATGCAAACTGTAGTTATGTTCTCTGTATCTGGCTTTCACAGCCATTTACATGACTCTTAAACCTCCCATTGAGGAAATGCAGCATAGCTGTGGTCTTGTTTTGGTCACTTATAAAAACTCTGCCCATCCCTCCCAACAGCCCGCTGCTGTCTTCACGGATTGCACAGCTCTTGTGGCTGTCCTTGCGCTGGGCTCTGGTTGCTGCTCAGTTGAAACTGCGCATGGTGTGAGCAGTTGTGTCTGTTTTATGGACAGTGGAGAGGGTGGGTGTCCTTCGGCTCCGTCGTCAATCAGGACCACGTGATGGGCGTGCTGCACCTCCTTATGATGGGGAGTGAGGGCAGAGAAGGATTGAGAAAAGAGAGAAAGAGATTTGATGGAAATAAGTGTAGTTGGGTGAACAAAAAACCATTAACCATGGGTTATTAGTAGGTTATAGAAGGGGAAGAAAGTTACCCTTAGTAAACCCAAACCTTGGCTTTTCTGTGCATTGATCTGACCAGGATGAAATGCTGACTTTCAAAGTCCCTTCCTCACTTCTGCAGTAGACCGTGGCTGACACTGGATTGCTACCGTGGATGGTGCGGTGTCAAGGGGGTGCTACCTAGGGGCTTCCCTCTAGATGTTTTCCTGTTAAGATTTGATCTGGAAACAGAAATCTAGAAGTCTGCATGGGTGTGTCAGCTTTTCCAGATCAGCTAGGCTTTTCTGGATGTCGGGGTAATTTTCAGAATAGTTTTATAATCTGTAAACAGTACAAAACCTAAATTTCCTCTGCTGCATCAGCTTTGTGTTCATGTTATTGTGAACATGGAGTTGTGTCTGTAAAATATCTCTTTGGTCTGGTTGTGAGGAGAAGGTGGGGAAATGGATTAAGGCCATCCAAAACCTTTGTCCTATCTGGTACTTTTTTTATCATGGTGATTCTGAAAGGAATATCTCTGTCCTTTGTGTTTAACCCCCTCATAGTCTTGTTTCTTCTCTCAAATTCTTTTGAACCCTACTGCAGGCAGACAGGCAATATGAAATCCCACAGCCACATAGACTCCCTAAACAACCAAAAGATGCTTTCTTGATTGAACAAGTCTTTAGTCCTCATCCCTACCCTGCATCACTCAAGTCACACATGAAAAGCAACCCGCTGTACACAGACATGAGGTTGACCGAGCTGGCTGAAGTGAAACGCGCCCAGCCGTCTTGGACCATAGAGGAATACACGAGGAATTCGGGGGATAAAGGCAAGATTGCAGCACTGGATCTACAAGTGAGTCCTGTTTGTTTAATTTGAATGGCTTGATTACGAATGGGTATTGCCAGAATATGCGTTTAAGAAGGGATTTGGATAGCTCAGGAAGGAGCTATGCGGTGTTGAGCCTCTAATCTTGCTGATCCCTATCCATCCTGGCCAGGGACAAAGAAAAATTTAGATGTTTGATTGCTGAATGGTGATCCTTGACTGGTTGGTATCCCCAGCTTATTCTGCAATGGAGTCATGTCTGCTAAGCCATTGCGGTGTTAGTAGCTCTGAAGATGAGTTTAGGGGTAAAGGGGTGCAGAAATGAACCAGTCCCTAACTGAAGCAAGGCAGAGTGATACAGGAGCTGGCATTGCTGCTTTTTCTTTCACCTGTGTTCTATCTGAATTGTTCACAGAGAATTTAAATGTTAGGGCTTTTTCCATTTTGCTAGGGACATGAAACTTGTTTGCATTTTAGTTCAGCTTGGAAGTGTGCAGGCTCTTCTGCAACAAGCAGAGCAGAGCAAGTTACTGGCAGACAAATCCAAATTTTTTATTTAAATTTTCCCAAACTGTGCTGTATTTGAAATCACAATCCTGATATATCATGGGCTGCCCATACCCAGGACTGAGTGACCACGTTGGATGCCCTGTCTAGCCTGATAAACGCAAGACGTCTTCTAGGAAGGAAGATATCTGAACACAGGATTAAAGAGGAAGCATGAAGAATAACATCCAAAATGTGTAAAGACCAAACAAATGTTGCAGTATTTGGTCATGAAACACAAAATGCATCACATAATGAAATCCACGCTGATGTACAGATCACTGTGTATCATTTATATGCATTTCTACAGCAGGATGCAGAGCCAGCAGGGAGACTGGTGCTGACCTCAGGCATTTTGGGCTCCTTGCATGTGTGTGCACACCCCAGAGCAGAGGAAGCTGCCTCAGCTAGCTACGGGCTTGGCAGCAGTTGGGGTACACTGACCACCACCACACTAACACAGCTCTGTGATCGCCGGTCTGTGGGGTGCAGCCATACTCAAGCAGGGAGTCTGCTTGTCTCCAAAGCTTGTTTGCCAGGGAAGGTGGCATGCAAGAGCCTGAGACTTGCAGTTCCACATCAGCTCTTGATGGCTCACTGCTGAGGTACCTAACCCAGCTCCAAACCCATCAGACTAAGCCCTAGGTCAAGGTACTATGAGAAAGACTTGGTTAGCCCAAGGAGAACTGCCATGCCTCATGACCCCATGTCAGCTGGTTTGGAATTAAAACCATCACTCACACTGTTGCTGTAGTGCAGCTCCCACGAGTGTTTGTGCAGGAATTTGTGCATAACAAGCTTACCTCCTGGCTCGGTGCATGCAAACTTCCCTGTCCTCACCAGCCCCTGCTCCTTGCTGTGGCTAAAGGGCACTCAGAGAGAAGCCAGGTAGCACAGGGACTAGGCTACATCTTGCATCAGCTACCTGCTGCTTTTTTAGGTTTTAATAGCTTTAGAGGGCTTACTAAATTCCTCACCCTGGCATTGCAGACTGTATGCTAGAGTAGGGATAGGCTGAAAGAAGTTCCTCTGCAGCAGGCAGTCGCGAAGCATCCCCTACCTGCTGCGTGGAGGCAACAAGGGAGGTGATATTTGGAGGCAAAGCTCCCCTGGGAGAAGTGTTCTCCATCTGCTCCTCATAGGGCCGTTCCGTTCCCTGTAAGCAGCTCTGCGTGACTGTGAGCAAACCAGAGAAATCGGCTTATTGCCATCATTTATCTTTAGGATAAAGGTGATAAAACTTTACTGGTTTGATTCTCTCCCTCCAAAAGGACTGTCAGAATTGCATCTACTCTGCAAAGCCCATGTCTAGACGTTATAATAGAGCTTACTGACAAACTTAAAAAATAGACACAGACTGATGAGTGGGTTTTTTTCCCAGTGATTAAGTTTATTAGAACTGAAAGTAAATACATTATGCTTTAATGAACATTCCTACGTCTGGCAATGAAATGAGAAAGGAAGCTGATTAACAGTAATGGGCCTTTTTAATAATGCATCTTCCTTCTGAAGTAGTTAAAAGGTCAATACCAAGGCAGAGAGGTCCAAAACTGTAATTTCCTTGAAGCGTAGCATTGACTATCTTTGGAGTTTTTCTACCTTTGTTTATTTAAAATTTCTCCTGGCACTTGACAAGTCTGCTGGGTTTTCCTTCAAAAAAAAGAAACTGCAAAACTAGAGTCAGGCTAAAGTTTGTCCCAGGTGTGGGGTCTGTGTGAGATCTCATCGCTTCGCTCTCTGTATGATGATCCACTGGGACAAAACTTTGTCAGGCTATTTTCTGATGCCTTTAGAGATGAGGTTGCTCATTTTTTCCGGAAGGCTGGAATAGGTCATTCAGAGCCCGAACGGTACAATCTCAGACTCAGCTGATGGTCTCTGTTTTGGCATACTAGTGCTATCATAGAGATCTCCCTTAAATGATCATGAAACTCTTGATCAATTTTAATTGTTTATTTCTGGGGTAGCTATAAAATCACTTCTTGTAGTTGTTCTGTACATAAAGCAAACGCTGCTTTTGGGCAAAGCAACGTTTCAGCCAGTAGCTCGTACCCACAAAATCTGAATTAGCCAATTAAAGGCTTACCCAAATCCCTCTCAAGTCAGCTGGAGTTTCTTTGTGCGGAGTCCAACGAGCTTTGGATCAGGTCCGTTACAAGCCCAGATATGGTCTGTGTTAGGGTATTCTCACTGGAACATTTTTATGTGGAATCTTTTTCATTTTGTAAAGAAATGGCCTTTTGGAGCCCCAGACACAGGAGACAGCTTTGAGGAAAAGCTGTCATTTTTCAAAATGTTCTTTCTGCTTTGTTCCTTTCTGCTGGTAAGTGCAATATAATGCACATATAATATTTGGGTTTTCCCCATTTCCTCCCAATTTTCCCTAACAGGAATGATGAAGGGAAAAATACAAGCAAGGTGGAAATGCAAAGCCTGAAGAGCTCACAAATTCTAAAGAAGAAAAAACTAAAATATAAAAAAGAGGGAAATAAAACATTCAGATGGAGACACTGATAGAGTTCCCCAGGTTGCCTTTTTTGTTGTTTTTTGGGGGGTTGGGTTTTTTTTGTTTGTTTGTTTAGCTGTGTGGAATGGGAGGGCAGTGTCTTCCATTTCTTAAGCATACTCTGAAAATCACCTCCAGCCCAGGGAGACTCAGACTTTGGCAATGAGCAGAGTATTGCTTCCTGTGGAAATATGGATTGTGCCACTGGGGTTAAATGGTCTCATCTGTGAAGACGGTCCAGAGTAACGTGCGGTATCAAATCGTATGCCAGGTGTCCAGTTCCCTTTCTCGCCTCTAAAACTGAGACAGCATCATGCACCCAGGTGATTTTCAAAAGAAGAAGCTGGAGGGAGAGCTAGAAGCTGAGGGTCACCTTGTCCTGGGTGATTTTGTGGAAAGCCACTATCAGCCCCTCCACGGGGTGTTCAGCACCCGCTGCCTGCGCTTGTGTATTCCCATGCTGAAACGAAGGGCTGGTGTCCCCAGGCATTGCCGTTCCAGAAGGGGTCTGCAAATTGCCCATCCAGAGGGATGGGGTGCTGGATGGGGCTGGGCAATCGCACCCTGCAAGCAAGTTAGGGTTAGCTTTAGAAAATGTAGTGCATGAGGAGTATATGTGAAGAACCCTTCCCATCAGCTGGGCTTTAATAATTTAAAAAGCAGTAACAGACCAGTAGTTGCTGACATCTCTGCTGTCTAGCAGATTAAAGAGATTTTATTTAAATGCCATCCAAGATGACGAAGTTTCTGGCAAATCAGAGGTACGTGAGGGATTTTACAGCAGAATTATACTGTTGCAGGAGTTTATTTTTTGCAGTATTCTGTTGCAACTTTTGTCAGCCTTATGGAACTGGGACCAGGAGTTGAAGGGATGTGAGAAGCGGCAATAACCCACTTTATCCTGACAGCAGACCCAGATGCAGTTGGGAGGCCTTCAGGCACATCTGCTTGCTTTATTTATGTTATTAATGACAGATCCCAGACAATTAACAACTGTTTCCTTTTAATTTTTAGACTCAAGAATCTTTAAACCCAAACAACTTAGAATACTGGATGGAAGACATTTATACTCCTGGCTATGATTCCTTATTAAAACGCAAAGAAGCTGAGTTCAGAAGAGCAAAGGTTTGCAAGATAGCTGCCCTGATAGCAGCGGCAGCTTGTACGGTTATTCTGGTCATTGTAGTTCCCATTTGTACAATGAAATCCTGAACCTGCGGACAGACGCGTGACTCCCAGCCGCGTGTATCTCAGATAGCTCATGCTGTGTTTCAAACGTCTGATGGCAAAACTGTAAGGAATTTGCTAAGGAAGAATGTTCTGAGGGTATCCTGATGGAGAATGCTGTAAATGTAGGCAAAACACAAAACAACCAGAGAAACTTTTTTTTTTTTTTTTTAAAGTATAATTTTAAATAACAGACTGTGTGGCAGAGTTAATGGGAACTTGGTTCAATTTTTATGCATTTTTAAAAGTGCAATTTTTTTTTTCCTAAAGAAACAATATAATGTTTTACAGAATCAGAGACTGATGAGAATCCAGGCAAAAGAGGAAGGTTGTCTGAGCTGTGTTGCATTTAACGGAGGTATGGGTACATGGAGGTAGCATTGTATAGAAAGGAATGTTCTACATGCATTACATCGAGGAGCTAGGAAAGTCTTAAAGCTCTCTACAATGTAGAAAACTCTGAATGTATTGTATTTATTTAATAGTATTTATGTATTTCATGATCATTTGATTGAAAGCAGACTGTGTAGCCATGAACGGAGTTCATTCCTATGTTCAGATTAAAAAGGGCTCTTTGTATTTGGTCTTGCCCTAAGACCCACTCTGTCATTACTGAGTGCTTAGATAAGTGCAATGTGCTGCAGACCAAAAAGATTATGTTTTAAAGCAATCACAAGAGGTTTTAGTTGCTTCTGTTGAATAACATTTGCATAGAGCTGGCAAACTTGCCTTGCCAAAAGGGTATTCTTTACCTCCGCAGACAGTGAAATTATCTCAATTTCACTCCTGCCAGCAAGCAAAGCTGGCAAATCAAAGCAACCCTCTGTTAAAGTTCTTGGAAATGTAATCTGAACATTTGGGTTTTTTTCTTCACAAAGTCTTTGTGCCTTTTTTTAGACTGTAGATTAAATAGAACTGTTTAATTTTGCTATTTTAAGCCCATAACATAAATCACAACATAATGGGTACTAATGGAGGTTCTTTTCCCGCAAGCCTTCTATATAGCTCAGAGTGCTCCTCAAACAGCAGGGCTGGTGGTTACTGAGCACTTATATTAAGGGCACAGTTTTTCAACACTAGTGGAAACTTGCTGTTAATGCAATGCATTCGCACGGGGAGATCTTTTTGCTTCCCTCTTGCTAATGTATTTAAGAATGATGGTTGACTCTACCGGACAGCAAGCAGTCTGTATCCCATGGGAGATGTCCATTCGATGAGTTATCCCAAATGCAAATAGCAGGTTCAAAGGAATACTCAAGTTATGACAGAAATTACATGCCATGGTTAGTGAAAGCAAATACCCAGACAGTATTACTCTTCTGTCAAGTATAGATGAAAAAAAAAATATTAAAAAAAATATTTTCAGGAAATAATGTGATCTTGCTGGTCCTCTAAGGGAAAGGAGATTCTTTTAGTGAATGCTCTTTATGTAGGGTAATTTGGTTTCTTCAGAAGCAGCCTCCCTACACAAAAAAAGCATCGGATGCTCGTTCCTCCAGCTCTCTGGGATGTGCCACACTCGCTGTTTGTTTCTGGCTGGTTTAAAAAAAGTAGCAAGGAAAGGGTGCGTGGGAGGCGAAGGCTTTGTTGTGACTTTAGATGTGTGACAGTTCTTTCCTGCAGCTGGAGAGCTGTATATGTGCTGCTCGTGTGCTCTATTTTATTTAGGGATAGGTGATCCCTGGGACCGTTGATCCATCAGTAAAACAAGTGTAAGCACAGGGTCGGGTGTCCCATCAGCAAATACAGAACAAGGATAAGCCCCTAGACCAAAATCTGCACCTGCCTGGCCTGAATCCTGACTGAAATTCTGCAGCTTTGGTCCATTCCTAATACCAAGATTATTTCTCTTTCCTCCCAGATGCTGCAGGATGGAGTCACAGCAGGGAGGGAGCAATTCACACTGTCTATTTTAGGCTGCCTTCAGTTATGGTGTGATTCAGAGCACCTGAGTTTAGGAGCTCAGGATCTGTACGTAGTAAATATAGACAGGTAGAGAAACCTCCGGGGATGATTCGGAGCCGCCAGCAAGATATCTAATATTAGACATGTGAATACGCTCTGGAGGGCATTGCTCTGCGGTTTACCTTATGCACAATTTAGGTTGATTGTATATGTAAAAAAAACTATTCCTGGTTCCAGGTAACGTCAGAAAGCCTTTTTACACCCCTCCTTGGCCTGGTGATAGCAAGCACAAGGCGCTGTCGGGAAGAGCAGTGTGGCCCGTGGTGGCACAGCGTCAGTCCCCCGTCTGCCCACGCCGGCGGTGACGAGTCCCTCAGAGGGGCAGGATGAGTGTGGGACGGACACTGGGCAGACCCCCCGCCTTCACCAACCCCCTCTCCACTAGCACGAGTAGTCTGACCCTGCTGGCCCCCAACCCGAAATCAGCAGCACTTCCTCCGCTGCATTTCAGTAATCTGATTTTAGAAAATACCTGAATAGCTGAGTGGAGATGTGAGAAGGGTGCAGGAGATGTTATTGATTACAGGGGCGGGCTGGGGCTGTGCTGGCACTGATGCATTAGAGGAGATGTGAGGACCCCTGTTTTGTCTGTGCAGGGATTTTTATTGTCTGTGCAAGACTCGTCCAGCTGGGACCAGATGAAGCTTTGCATTAGAGAGACCCAAAATTCTGGGAAGGATTTGGCAGGTTGTGGAGCCATGGGTGACATGGAGCTGGCCCAACCCAAGCACTCAGCATCCCAAGCATCCATGCTGCTCTTAGTTTATCGAGGTGCTTTTGCCCATCCTTACTTTGCACAAGCAGGCAGTGGCACCCACCTCCATCGAGGCAGTGGTTTCCCAGCACGCCAGACCATGGTTCATCACAGAGCTCCCTCTCAGGGCTTGGTTTGGCTCCCGCAACCTCTGGGAGCATCTCCATGGTGCCAGGAGCCCGAGGGGAGCGGGGAAAGCAGAGCCCGGCTCCCTGCCTCCCCGCTCCACAAATACCTCCGGGAGCCGCTGCCTCGCCGTCTCCTCCGCTCCCCGGCTGCCTCTGGCAGCTCCTCGGCACCACTGGGATGTGCATCCCTAGCCGTTCCCAGCGGGTTTTACATCTGGCACTGAGCTCTTCGCTTAAAATAGGTAAGGAGATGGAGCGGTGGGATGCTGCCGCCGGAGGAGGGAAGGAGGGGCCCTGCGGTTCTGCACAGAGTATGCAAGCTAGGTGAAATCCTGAGAATATTAACCTGCAAGAATATTGTGATCAACCTCGTGAACCAGTAATCAACTAGTATATACTGTATACTATATGATAGACTTTTGTATAAAAAAAATAAAATAAAAAAATTAAAGCTATAGGTACAGTGTAATCCTTGGTGTGATTCAAAAGAGTGACCTAGATTGTAGTACTTAATTAAAATAATGAGCATATTGAACTGTTTTTCGTATTTATGCCTTATAAACTTGATATATCACACATGATAAAATGAAACTGCAAGAATTATAAAAAAGATACTCCATTTTGGGGGCAAATCCCATTTGCTTTTCCTAAAACAAGAGTGCTGCTTGAAATCAGCTCAATAAATCATATGTGCAGAAGAGCAAGAGCAGGATCTGTCCCCAAATGACTTTTTAGGATTTTTTTTTTTAATGGGGCTTTGGTTAATGTACTATGTAATCATTTTATTTTATAAAGTTACTGTACAATGTTGCCTTTTGGTTCATTTAAATATAATAACAAATAAACTTGAAAATTACAGTGTCCTAAGTTTTAATGAAACAGTTATAATAATTTATTACTCCATTGCTTTTCCTCTTTTTTTTTTTTTTCCAGGGACATCAAGATAGCCATGGGATGTGAGTGTCTCAGTGTTAAATAACTAAGCAGCCTATCTAGTTCTTGGCAGAATTGCTAATGGATTTCTCACTTGTGAAATAATAAGATGGCAGAAGATAATGAAAAATGAGTTTGTGGGGTTTCTTTTAAAAGCTCCTTTGCATCACATTGTGTGGGCTTCTGGGAGATTAGCTCTTGACACTAATCATAATATTTCATTTTATAGGTTATTTCATGACTCATTTTTGCCAGATCAACTCTTTTAACAAGGTCATGACTAATATTTTGGTATCTATTTCACTTACATGTTTATGCAACCACTGTCCCTTTTAAGTCAGTACTATAGATAACTATTTATAATCACCTATCAGCAGGTAATCAGTTTGCTTAGGATCTCTATATGAATTTAATTTGCTGCTTTTGACTTGTTAATTGCAAAACCACCTTGTCTTCAAATTCCAGGTGTTGAAACAAAGATAGACCTGAGCCCTCCACTGACGGTAATCCAGGATCAGAGGTTGCAAAGGGGAGCCGCAGAAAAGAGGGCATATATAAATAATGAACAATGACATGAAAATGTAGTAATGTAAGATCTTGATTTCCTCATCTCAACTGCATAAGCACCTTTAATGCATTGCTTCAGCAATCCTGGTCAGGATGGGGACTGCCAAGTGCTCCCTGTGGGTCCGGGACACCAGCTTGACCCTCAGGTGTTCACGTGTCGTCAGTCAGGCTGCAAACCATCACAGGTCCCCTTGAGAGGGACTGTGATTCACAATTTAGCACTGGTTTCATTTTTGGAGATGGTAGCATGGATTTGCATCAGTTTCAGGTTTTTTGTTGTACCCATGGAGTCCAGAAGCTTAAAAGTAGAAGTGCCCTCTGGATTTTTATTTTACGGCATGAATCCAGGTGCAGAAACTTCCATAAAAATGCTAAGTGTGACCACACTTGTGCCAAAAAATCCTGGCACAGCATTCCTCAGCCAAGAAGCTGGATACATAGGATATGTAGACCTCATCTGGGTCATCGCTGTGCTGGAAAATGGGGCAACTGCCAGGTTTCTACAGTAGCAGCTGGGTAGACTCACTGAGTCTTAAGGTAGAAGAACGCTCCTACATGCAATGCTGTATCAGCAACTGAGATGTAGCCCCATGCTCTCTGTGCTTCTTTGAATGTATTGCTCATAGCAGTTAATTGCACTGGTTGAATAAATTCTTTATTTCAGATATAGCTTTGATGAATGGCTCTGCCTGATGCACAAAAGAGTCACAAGCAAAATATTGGATCTCGGGGCCATATTCTGCCCTCTGAGGTGCTCCTGTGACTCCATTCCATTTAATCTGCACATGGAAGAAGAGAAAGTAGCCCGTAGCCTGCCCGTAGCAGCGTGGTCCTATTGAAAGAAAAGGTCAGTTGTGTTGGTGTGCATGTTGGGAAAAGGCAGGTGCCTGTGGAAGTAATTATAAAGATGAGGTACTTTCTTTCATCTTATTTTTTTCTTTGTTATCTTTTTAGGAAAGAGCATTATATCTTATAAAGTGCTGTTCTGCTATTAGTTCTCCAGCAAGCTTGGTCACTTCGGATGACTTCTGGGACGATGGACCGCTCGATCTCTTGCAGGTTGTTACGTTGATCTTCACAGTCCACTTAGAAACTGGAAAAAAATCTCCAAAAAAGGAAGTGGGCTGCCAGCAGCCAAGCTCCTTCCATAAGTAAGTTCCATTTGTTTTATTTATTTTCTGTAATATAGCACAAACTACGTGTAGGAGAGCCACGAAATTCTTCCAAAAGCAACAGTACATCAAATCCTTCCCAAGAGCAATAGACTGAGATTTTCAAGGAAGACTAGTTAATGGTCCTGGATGAGCCCAGCACAAGAAAGCA